CATGCTGTTTCTTCTGCTTGCCTGCCAAAGCACTTCAATCAATTATTATCATTTTGACTTGTGGTTAATTAGTCAGCTAAATAGTTAATTAAAGACGATTATTAGGTTAACAGGCACACGTGATGCTATGATTTTACGAGTTATGAAACAGATGTTGGAGTGATATGTTTTCACGTCGTGTTTCAAAAACACAGCATGTGAGCTAGTGTGCCAGAGAGGCGATAAGGTGTCAGTAGAAGCTGAAGGGAGGATAAAAAATGCCATAAAATTAAAATGCAGACAGAAACCTGTGTCTCTCATTTTTCTATGCTGCTAATGTTTCATTAACGCTACATGCAAACAGATCGATTTCCAATGTCACGTCATAAGGAGTGATAAAGCATCAGATGCTTCTACTGTAGAGAGAAACTAGTGTCTCGCCATAGCAGTAAACATTTCTGTTCATTGTTATTCTGAGGTATAGCTCAGTAAAAGCAGAAAAAAAAGAAGTGACTGTCAGAAGTGGTTCGGTATAAGCTTCAAAACAGCACATTGTTCATTTCTGTCTTATTCAGGCTTTCAAGTATGCCACTTAAACTTAAACACATTCTTTTTTTCTTGATCTGTCAGGATATTCTACTTGCCTCGCCTAACAGCAGGTCAAATAAAATAATTGGGAGCGTAACGTATTTGTGTAGAGAAAATGTCAAATCCTGGGTGCGCTGTGAAATCCCCTGAACACATCCACCTGAATAAAATGGCACACGGTGCATCAAGTGCTGCCTTGACTATGTTAGCTTGTCAAAGTAGCTGTCAGCGTACCATGAGCACTCCAGGTTTGGAGCTGAGTCTACTGTAACGTTACCTCTCCCCTCACTTTCCTCACTTTTCTGTCTGCGATCCATGAACACTCAGTAAAACTAATAAAATATACAGCAAGGGCAGTCATCTAGTTGTACCTAAAAGATGACTGACAGAGGAAAAAAAATACATAATTCAGATTCTTTGCCACGTATGTTTCAATGTTTCTTCGTTCTCTTTTTTCATTTTTTTTCCTTGGATGCGCTTGTTTCTCAGACAGGGTGAAAGATGCAAGACCAAGAAGGAATGTTAAGTAATATTCAAATATAAATGCAAAGTTGGCAAGATGAAACGTAGTAAGGAGAGGTTGAATATATTTTGTTGTCTTAATAAAAGCTGCCAAGTGGAGGAAACTTGTTCTGGTTTGTAATTCAATTCAAATAGTAATTATGTGCAATCACAGAAGAAAAACACAATTCTTTACCATTCCATTAAGCACCAAACCATTAAATGTAACCATGTTAAGACTTATATCTAAACTAGCGCACCTGTTCAACAGAGATCTGCAACAAATTTGATAATTAATGTCTTCTTTTAGCTATTCTTTGCAAGTCTACAGATTTTTGGACCAGTGGTGAGATTGGACTTTATGTCACCTTTTGTGGCCCGAATGACAGATTGAGACCAGATCTGACAGGTTAGTCAATAAATGAAAAAAAAAATCATTACTTGCAGCCCTGAAAATATCTTTAATCTTAGAAACCACAGGTAACCTTCAGATTTGGCAGGTTTGCAACTTCTCGTGATTCATGTGTGACCTTTGGTGAACAACACAAAACCATTTACTATGTCACTTTGAAGAATCCCTCACCTGGCAGCTGAAGTAATCAATATTCACATTGTAAGCCAGTCATGTGATCTTAATAGTCTTTGCTTTAGTTTTGCTGTGGCCCACTATTCAACTGTTTAATTTAACAATTGTATTCTCGAAATTGTACAAAATGTCACTTTTTTAAAGTTTTTGGTGATGTAGATTTCATCTTGTCTTTTAGCAATCCTTGTAAAGGACCCATTGGAGTTATATTTAGACACGTCCCACAAAAGCATCATTTGTCAGTATGCCAGAACTACATTTTAACCCCAAAAATTACACAACAAAGCAAAAACAACACAAGTCTTTTTTTGTGCCCAGTCTCAATCAAAGTTAGACTACGAAACATGCGCTGGAGTGTTCTTGGTCCCTTAAAAGAGGGCCGTCACCTCGCCCACCATCTGACAGTATCTGATAATGTGGGAATAAAATGCTTTTAATGATTCAATCTCTATTCTGGAAACTAGAGACTAGACTCTGTTCCATTTTGCATTAGGCGATACTTGAAGTCCTTGATCTGCACCTGTTTAAAAGTTTCCACGTCTCCACCTAATAAAAAGACAGACAAAACGGCAATGCAAGAACCTACTTAACACTGCTTCCTACTGCAGCAAACACATAGTCATTAGATTAAGATGAATGAAATCTATGAAAGAACTCAAATGGCTTTTTTTCCCCCTCTCAAGTAAATACTTCATAGTAATTGGACGTGATTGTGCGAGTTATTATCATTACAATCCACCTGTGTGGGTCTTTGCGGGTGACACAGCCAATCAAAAATCTATCCCATCTCCATGGAAACACGAGCTTTTGTCTCTGTTGCAATCACTGCTTTTAAAAGAGAACTGATGTCAATTATAGCCTGGTAGATGTGAGCTGAGCGCAACAAACATTCATGAAGGCAGCCATTGCTAAGCAGGCAGACTCATCATAGAGGCAAGCCAATGCCAGGATTCATTCTGTGTCTGCGGCTCTTATTATTTTCGTCTCATCTCAAATTATCAGGTGCATCTGCAACAACAGATAACTGTCCTGTTGTTGTTTCAGCTGGGAAGCTGTGAAACTGTCTGCAATTTCAATCTATAACTAGTAGGCGAAACAAGTTATGCGCCCTCATAGTTAAAGCAACTATAAACTAGGAGTGACGTTTAAATGCATCATTCATATTACCACTGTTATTATTGTTATTATTGGCATAAGAGTTGTTTACTTGTGCCTCATATCCCTATATGATGCATAATGGATATGTCAGCCCTGTGGCAAAACATTAACGACTACCCTGCCAACTTTCAATAATAAATGACACAACTGCCTGAGCGGCGAACACTTCATTTGCCAGGAAAATGACGAACAGCGCTGAGTGGATGCAGCTATGTGTTTGACATAAGACACCGACATCCCGTCAGCGTGGATTAAAATGTCACCAACCGTTACGGGCTTCTACAGACCTTGGTACAAAGTCGTCCGCCTTGAGCTATTGGTTTCAACATTTGCTTTTATGCAAAATAGATCAAGGACAGGGACAGTCGGGGTGAAAGCTGCTGGCAAAGGACTCGCTGGGACACGAGAGAGGGGAACAGAAAGGCGATCATAGAGCAGAACGGAAGTCAGAGAGAGTCAGTAATGTTCACTAAAGATAAATATGTTGAGCCTACCCTAAGGATTCAAAAATGCAAAATAATTTAATTAATTAATTAAATAACATGTAATATTAGTGTGACACCGCTGAACTGAAGCCCTTCTACCAATTACATCGCAGCTTTCGCCTCTATCGCTGTCAAAGAGGAACCCACAAAGCCCCTTACAGATTTGTATCTTTCTTTTTTTTTTTTCAGTTGTGCTCGACAGGAACCTATTCATCAAGTCAGTGTGGCGCTTGCTCATTTGTGACCTCACACCTTTGGCACGCAGCATTCGTCAGGGACAGAGTGAAATCTACTGACTGTGACCGCAGACTTTTGTAGACCTGTGTTCAGCAAGGCCACAGTGGTTTATCACACATATAGTTTCTTTTATTAAAAGTAAGAGGGATGAAAAAATACAATTCCTAATGTTGTTACAGCAACCCAGCCCTTTCCCAGCACCACTGTTATTTCTGGTTACCAGTGTATAGTCCACTGTTGGGTTTTGCATATGTTTTGTATGACTCTTTACATATCAGAGATACAGATAAGGGCAACAAGTGGTGTTTTTTTTCTCATGACGGGGGTGTGAGCTAGGATAGAGGAAGTACTCCGATCATTTATGTAAGCTCGGCATCAGTGAAAAAATACTCTATTTTATGTTGAAGTCACCATATAAAACTTTGGACAGTACACAGCTATTATCAGAATCATATACAAAGAGAATCAGTTTAGTTTAGGTTGAATGAAGTAAGTAGGGTTTTATTTGTGGGAAACAGAAGGAAAGTTCTGTAAAAGCTGAGGTGTTTCTTCCTGACATGACAAATCCCACCTGCCTGAGTTTTGAGACAAACAAGCAGAATTATAGATTTGTGGCATAATTGAATTCTTTTCCATAATTCCTTCTTTGAAATACCGCCTTCTTATTTTAGTCCTCCTTTCCCACAAATCTATTTTTAACAATGTTTGGCCGAATGGGGATCCGGGAAATGTTTCTCTAGCACAATTATAAAAGTCGGTGGCCCACAATAGAGCAAACAATCAATTTTCTAGATTCATTCTTCATAGTTAAATATTATCCTTTAAATGCCACAGTCCGCACAAGCCCACAAGACTCATGCTCACTGCCTCTTGGTTACTGCCTCGCTTCTCACTGCTCAGCCGAGTTTTAAAGTGAAGTTACAAGGAGTCGAGCGGTTAAATACTAATATATTCATTCTATAGTTCAGCCTTTGAATGTCCAGATTTACCTCTGCATTGGAATGAATTATATTGGGCAGGCACTAACTGAGGCCGTTTTCCCTGAGGTCAACTCTATTGTAAAGGATGATGGCTCCCTGAACGTTTCACCGCTGAATCGCTTGCCCTTTCACAAATCCCATCAGCGCCACAGTGGACGCTGTGTTGCTGTTGTTGTCACCAACTCTTAGTTTTATGAAAGAAAAAAAAGAACCACATGCTGGTCAGTACTACTAAAAAGAACCTAATTAAACGGACTCGGCAAGCACACCAGAGCACACAAAATGACATCGATGTGACATGAGTGAATCATGCAACATAAGTCCCTTTCATTTATCCTCTGTGAATGCTATAATGGTTTATAAGATGTACACTTCTTCATAGATTAGGCAAAGTTTTATAATAACGGTCTTTTTAGAATCATTGTACCTGTGGTTTCACAGTATTTTAAGAATACCCGTTTTAGCAGCGTGCATGTGTGCGTTTACCTTCCATGACGTACACCAGCGAGCCTACATCGCCCTCCTTAATGATGCAGCTGTCCTTCCCGTACTCGACAGGATACATGCAGTCCACGATCTCTTGGATCTGCGACAGCTCCAGGTTCTTCATGAAGTCATTGTCCAAGATGGCCTCCTTTATCAGTTCCTTGGACCTGGAGGCAAAGCCAAGCAATGTGAGACAGTCACTGTACAAGCACTGACTTGTGCATTCTTCATTGCAGAAGGACAAAATGAGACACAATAAGAGGTTTTGCAGGCGCACATCTCAAATAAAAACTGTTCAGCATGTCTCTTATTTCCAAGGCTATTTCATTCTAGCTTTAACGGCTCAGCGCCTTTTCAAAAACATACCCTCAATTCAAATATGTCAAGGTGAAACCATCTCACCCGCCTCCCTCCCCTGAAAATTCTGAGGAAAGTCAATAAATAGCAAAATCAATGCCTAATGGATGCAGATTATTTCCATTCAGGGATTTACTTCTGAAAGCCAACTCGGCTTTCGGTTTGCAGAGTCATTAAGGGCATTCCGCAGGTAAATAGTTTCTGCATTAACTATGCAACTGTCGGGAGAAAAGGTAATAAAGTGCAAAGCTAACGCGTGGTTGTCAAGGTGCAAGAGTGCTTGTCAGGTGGGCTGAAAGGAAACACAGGGCAAACGGAGAGGCAGGCGACATTATGAAAGGAGACCTGATAAATTATCTTCTAAATCTAGCAGCATGCAGTGGATGCAGCGCCAGAGGAGAGTGGAGATATTTGTTCAACAGGTGATAGCAAATCTGAAACCTGAAAGCAAGCATCAGTGTGACTGTCTGAGAAAGGTAGACGCGTTGAAAGAAGTCTGACGCGGGCCAGATCGCGAACAACGAGTCAAGATCACTCATTCACCGAAGCATCGCCACAGTTCCATTTGCTCAGCTGCACGCTGTGTATGTGCTTCTCTGGCAGCTAAATGAATGAGGTTATGTACCAGGGTTAAACCATTAAAGAGACCTCTCACACTGAAAAGAGAGGCCAATATCCTAATTCATAAAAAAAATCCACAAAAGCAGCCCACTATGCCCCGCAAGTAGTATTCAAAGGCACTGGGGAACTGCCTCTTACCTTTTTTTGCTCAGTGCCCTTTTCAGAAACGGATTTCTTAGTGCATTGTTGATCACCTGGAGAGCTCATTGCTAAAAGGGCAAATAACCTAGAAGGCATTTATGAATCAGTGCTCCCACAACACGCAGGCTTCTCTTCTCCACTGCCAGCCTGCAGCAAAGTCCTCGCCAAGGAACAAAAGTGCATAAACAAAACTTCAAATTACAACATCAACAGTGCCCTTTTTTTTTACTTCTTTCAGATTTATGTTTTTCAACCTGTCTGTTATTTTGGAACAGCAAACTCTACAAACCTCCTCTGCAGATTCAAGTGTATATGAGGCCATGTTTCACTGCACAATGAGTGTTTTATTTCTCTTTATGCTGAACTTTTAAGGTCACTCAAACGCTTCTTCAATAAATCCTCAAACACATTATTGAGTCTGGGATGAGACAGTGGTGCTGTTTCAAATTTCTTTTCTTTTTTTAAATGCCAAAACACTTAAAAGAGCGATGCCAGTCTCTTCTCAGAAGCAGCTACCATTTGAGGTTTCACCAACATCTGCACATTTTATTGCACTGTTTTTACACCAGCTGAATTATTAGCGGGGCTCTAATAAATTGTGCTTTTCATTCATGACCATGAATACCAAATTAGGGTCTGAAGCCTGTGGATTCCGACCAGCGATGCTTTTCACACTTGCATATAAACGTGAGAAACTAAATTACCAGAGAACAACATTAGCTACGTGTCGTATTTCACTGGAAAACCCAAATAACGTTTTGGGGTTTTTTGAAAGCACACAAAAGAACCTTAATTCTCACATGTGGCCTCTGGATTTCTATAATCTTAAAGACAAAGATCATGTATGTGCATTCCTATAGATGTTCCACGATCCCTATACGTGTCATCTCTTCTCAAATTTTAGATCATTTACAGAATAACAAGAGCAACCAACCAACGCGAGAGGCTTCAGGCTAACAAGCTTCCAAATCCACTGGATTTTTTAATAGACTTGAATCGTAAATGGAGCTGCTCTAACTGAGCAACCTGGATTATAAAGAAGTTGTTTCTGCCCTTGAGAGTCTAAACATGCTGCTGTGCGAATTTTAAACAGGGAGGATTGAGGTGTTGCACTTATTTTTTATTCCCACTCCACAATCTATGTTCAGATCTGACTCCTTGCTCCTTGAGTTGTAATTTTTTGGGGGGGGAGTTGTCTGCAGGAAGAGAAGATCTCATTAGTTTGAAAGGAGCATAGTAATGGTGTGAAGCACAGTTTTTTTTGGACTGATATTTCATAATAGATTTCATTTTATGAAAAGACAGCACACTTTACGCATAATTAACTCGAGGCATTTTCACAGACTAACTTAAACAATTTTAGGAGAATCGAGCCAGGATATTGTCCAGCTCACGTGTAGCGTGCAACAGAAGATGATCTGCTTCTCAGAGCTGGCAGCACTCCTTTGTATTAGGTGAGGATGCTGCATGAGTAGGGTGCGCAGGTGGCAGGACATATGACAAATGACAGTGGTTTCACTATGACCTGAGCTATTCTCACCTGGGAGCAATTAGACGCTACATGGCCTTTGTGAGCTGGTAGAGACCACTTGAGGTCTAAATCTGACATTTTCACTCACACATACAACTGCACTTACCTGTCAAAAGTTTGGACACACTTTCTCATTTACTACTTTCTACATTGTAGATAGATGCTGAAGACATAAACATATGAGGCAAAATACAGTATATGGAATTATGTAGCATACAAAAAATGATAAATAATTGTAAATATGTCTTATATTTTAGATTCCTCAAAGTAGCCACTCTTTGCTTTGTTGACAGCACTGCAAACCCTTGGCCTTCTCTCAATGAGCTTCATGGTGCAGTCACCTGAAATGGTTTTCACTTCACAGGTGAGCTTTGTCAGGGTTCATTATTGGAATTTCCTTCCTTGTTAATGGGGTTGGGACCATCAGTTGTGTTGTGCAGAAGTCAGGTTAGTACACAGCTAACAACTGTTAGAATTCATAGTATGGCAAGAACCAATCAGCTAAGTAAAGACAGACAACAGTTCATCATTACTTTAAGAACTGAAGGTCAGTCAATCTGAAAACTGAGGATAAATTCATGGAGTCAACAGCCTCAGAAATACCAAGTTAACAGCACCTCAGATGAGAGGCTAGATAAATGTCACACAAAGTTCCATTAGCAGACACATCTGTACATCAGCTGTTCAGAGGAGGCCTTTATGGTCAAATAGCTGCTACAAAACCACGACTAAGAAAAAGCAACAGCAGAAGAGATTTGTTTGGGCCAAGAAACACAAGGAATGGACATTAGACAAGTGGAAATCTGAGCTTTGGTTTGATGAATCCACACTGAACCAGCATGGCTACCACAGCATCCTGCAGCGAGATGCCATCCCATTCGGTTTGCTTTTAGTTGGACCATCATTTATTTTTCAACAGGACAGTGACCCCAAACACACCTCCAGGCTGTGTAAGGGCTATTTGACGATGAAGGAAAGTGATGGAGTGCTGCGCCAGATGACCTGGCCTCCACAGTAACCTGACCTAAACCCAATCGAGATGGTTGGGGATGAGATGGACCTCAGAGTAAAGGCAAAAGGGCCAACAAGTTCTCAGCATCTCAAGGAACTCCTTCAAGACTGTTGGAAAACCATTTCAGGTGACTACCTCATGAAGCTCATCGAGAGAATGCCAAGAACGTGCAAAGTAGTAATCAAAGTAAAGGGTGGCTATTTTGAAGAATCTAACATATAAAACATGTTTTGAGTTATTTCACACTTTTTTGTTTGCTACATAACTGCATATGTATTCATTCATAGTTTTGATGCCTTCAGTGAGAATCTACACCATAAATCATCATTAAAATAAAGAACCATTATATGAGAAGGTGTGTCCAAACTTTTAACTTGTAGTGTATGTCAGTTACATCTACCATCTACAAAAGTCCAGGCCTGCAGTACATGTGTGAAAAAGGCTCAACAGGAACTAGCTGGAAATCTTTTTTTTTTCCAAGGCTGACCTCCAGTCCACTGGAAATGTGCCTCATTGACCCTATTTCTGTTCGATTTACACCCAGGAGATTTAGGGCAGACATGATCGTGGCCATTCTTGAGCAACATCTTCCAAATCCAACCCTTATGAAAACATCTGCCTCCGTCTCCTTTGTGAGAGCGATATATTTTCTTTCATCCACTACAGAAGTTTAGACTGAGCAAGTTCAGTCTTCCTTAAAAGGAGAAACTATGCTCTTTAAGGAGGAAAAAAAAGGCATGGCAGAAAAGTGGGAGAGGCCAGGAGAAATAAAAGTCAGAAAGAGGGAAAAGGATGGATAGCATACGAGTAAAGAGTGCTCTATGGGCCTTGTAAAGAAGATAAAGAGAGGGAAGAATGAAAGAAAAACACAAACACTTAGCCAGATCTAACAGATATTATCAGTAAACTTCAGTAACAAAGGAAAATAAAGAGTTAGTGAACTTGTTTTAGCCCACAGTATAAATTAACATGGACAAAAAAACAACAACAACAAACTCAATCTAAATGAACTGCTTTTCTACAGAAAAATATAAACTTCTCCAAATTACTCAGGCAAAGATGTCCAACCAGTTTGGACATCTTTGCCTGAGTAAGATAAGAACAGTGCTCAACTAATAAGAGAACAAGCGCAAAAACACACTACAGTCATTTGCATTCAACACTGGCTGTTTTTCAATTATTATTTTTTTCATCTCTATGCTTATTAGAAGAGCAATATTAGAGAAAATGCCATTCTCTAACAAATGAGGAGTGTGAAAAGGTGTGGCAGACGTTTAATGGAAAATTGAAGCTGTCGCTGAGAGAGGCTTGATGGAAGTTCAAACAGCCTCATTGTAATGAGTTAATTTTTAGCTTTCCTTTGAGGATCATCATCAGAAATTATTTAAGAAACCGCTGCCACTCATCTTTTCTTTCTTTTGAAATCTTGAAATAGTCTTTTCCCATCATAATTGATATTTTCTTAACTGGAGATTCTCTCTGATCTGTTCCAATATTAAATCACG